CAAAAGCAATTTATGGTGCCAACAAGAGCTTCATCAATGGAAGGCAACCAAAATTCTCAAAAGCTTCACACACTCTTGATCAAGACAGTGTAAAGCAAAACCAATTTATGGTGCCAACAAAAGCTTCATCAATGAAGGGCAATTACAATTCTCAAACCTTCGAAGCAAATTCAAGATTGTTCGAAGCAAATTCAATTTATATGGTTCATCCAAACATTCGACTACTACAAGGTATAGCTTGCATCACAATCTCTTGCTCAACAGTGTGGAAACAAAATTTGTATATGTTGTCTCTCCCACATTTTCAAATTTCTAGTTTCCCAAAAAAAAAAAAAGGAAATTCAACAAAGCTTCATCAATGGAGGACAACTACAAATTCTCAAAAGCTTCACACTATCTTGATCAAGATAGTGTGAAGCAAAATCAATTCGTGGTACCTAACAAAGCTTCACCACAAAAGCTTCATCAATGGAGGACAACTACAAATTATCAAAAGCTTCACACTATCTTGATCAAGATAGTGTGAAGCAAAATCAATTCATGGTACCCAACAAAAGCTTCAACTCTAAAGCTTCACCTACAAAGCTTCAACTCCAAAGCTTCACCTACAAAAGCTTCACCCACAATAGCTTCACCTACAAAAGCTTCACCCATAAAAGCTTCACCCACCACAAAAGCTTCACCTACAAAAGCTTCACCTATAAAAGCTTCACCAACAATGCTTCACCAACAATGCTTCACCCACAAAAGCTTCCCCTACCACAAAAACTTCACCCACAAAAGTTTCAACCATAAAAGTTTCACCAACAAAAACTTCACCCATCATAAAAGCTTCACCCATAAAAGTTTCACCTACAAAGCTTTAACACAAAAGCTTCACTTACAAAAGCTTCACACTATCTTGATCAAGATAGTGTGAAGCAAAATCAATTCATGGTACCCAACAAAGTTTCAACCTCAAAGCTTCATCTATAAAGCTTAATATATATATATATATTTTTTTTTTTCTTCAGAAATTCGAAAATTTAGAAATTTGAACATTCGAAAATTCAAAAAAAAATCGAAAAAAACAAATAAAAAAATTGTCTAGGCCTCATTTTCTTTGGGTCTAACAACTTTCATAACAAATATATATGAAAGAGGAGTTTTGAGCTACCACTTAGAAAGAAAAATGGTGAAGTTTTGTTACTTTGGAAACTTGGCTATTAGTAAGACACCTCATTCGTCAACTCTCTCGACCGGAGACTTGGTGGACTCCTACCATATGTTACTACACCTTGATACTCGGAAGTCTCACGACCACTCAATGACTTGGATTTTTTCAAGTCTCCAACCGAGAAGTTTTCTTCACTCAAGAAATTAAGGGAGCACTACCTCAACCTACATGCTTCACTCACAACGCTTCAACATACAAGCTTCAACAAAAGGAAAAATTCGAAGAACTTAGTGAAGAAGGCCTTCGTGAATTTAACACAAAACGTTGAAATGAAGCAAAACTTGTTTATTGATATCTCCAATAAGTTACAAATATGTACATATGCATGAATCAAAATAAACAAACAAGAGGGAGCCTTCACAAAGGTTGCTCAGGAGAAGTCTCAGCAGTCAGCAAAGCCCCAGAAAGAGGAGGCACCAGAGAGTGATTATTCGGAGCCTTAGTACTAGGCAGAACCCTAGAAGGAAGAGGCACCGAAGGTTGATCATTTGGAGCTTCATTACGCGGTACAGCTCCAGAAGACGAAGGCAATAAATGCCTTTGGAACAAACCCACAGATCTCTGATAAAGTAAAATCTGACCATCAGATTCCTGCAGTTGGTCGAGCTTTCTCTTCATGTGTTGTAGCATAGTCATGTGCGAGCCTGTGCAACTGTTTATTCTCATGCTTGAGCCCTCTGATCTCCTGTTTGAGACTTATCACTCCAGCCGCCAATGATTCAACTTGGTGGGTTCGAGCAAATAGGTATTGGGCCATATTAGACATAGAACCTATACATTGAATACTGAGAGCCAAAGAATCCTTAACAGCTAACTCATCAAACCATTTGAAAAGTAGTCTATTATCTTTGGGAGTGAGAAGGTTCCTGGCCACCACCCGCAGCAGTCATATCATTCTTCATCACAGTGTCTCCAACGGTAAGAGGACCAGTAGGGTATAAGAAGGATGGGCGCCATATGTTGTCTTGAGAAGGCATGACTGGCTCTTCACCAAAGTTCAAGTCAAAACGACGGTCGGATGGGCCAAACATTCTCAGAAATAATGAAGGAGAAATGAGGTGCAATAAATCTCTGAAGTAAAGGGAAAATTCCTACAAGCAATAACTCTCTGAATGTACTTCTTGCACACAATTGGTGCCTTTATAAAAGAAAGGGCAACAGGGTCATTGGTTCAAAAATCGAAAAGGCACCACTCTCCGAATTCCGAAGAAGCACCACTTTCCACATGCAACATCAATTTCTCGGGTACCACAGATAACTTTGCCAAAGATCTCTGACAAAGTTTAGATACATAAAGTTTGAAGGTCCAACTACCCTACTATTACCCACAAGGGTAAAGGAACAACACCACTGCTTGATAACTAGAAAGTCCCTATGTGTGTCAACCTTCGTGCTCCGTGGCAAGGCAGACTGGCAAAAATGCCTAACCTTTACTCATATTCGAGAAAACACTCCCAACAAGATTGCTTGCTCAAAAATCAAAGAGACACCGCTCTCCGAATCTCGAGAGCCAGACTTCCTACATGATTACTTGATCAAAAATCGAAGAAGCACCACCCTCTCAATCTCAAGAGCCAGACTCCCAACAGGATTGCATTCTCAAAAATTGAAGAAGCACCGTTCTCTGAATCTCGAGAGCCAGACTCCCAACAGGATTACTTGCTCAAAAATCGAAGAGGCACCGCTCTCCGAATCTCGAGAGCCAGACTACCAACAGGATTGTTTTCTCAAAAATTGAATAAGCACCGTTCTTTGAATCTCGAGAGCCAGATCCCCGACAGGATTGCTTGTTCGAAAATCGAAGAGGCATCGCTCTCCGAACTTCGAAAGCTAGATTTTCTTGGATAAAGCTTGTCTGCAATCTTCACACGCAACATCAGTTTTCCAGATACCATAGACCACTTTTTCAAAGTGCTCTAACAAAGTTAAAACACGTGAATCTTGCAGCTCCCACTACATTGTTATGACCGAGAAGGGTAAAGCTGTTGGGATAATTCTTATATATGTCGACCTTCATCCTTCACAGCCAGGCAGACTTGCAAATAAAAAAAATGCTCAACTTTTCTTCACATCCGAGAGGGCACTCTCAGCAGAGTTTCTCAAAATACTCAGCTTCTTTTCCCCCCGATAATACCTCTGCAAACAAGCCACACCAGAGCAAGAGTATCTTATATCATCAGGGTTAAAAGCAAGAGTATCTTATATCATGCTTGTTCCATGTCTTTTCCTTTGGCCTTGTTCTTACCTGCAAGACAAGGAGAAATAGAGCAATCAATCAGCACTTGGAATTAAGCTTCCAATCAGGAACTGACTGCCTGGAACCCCTTACCTGATTACTTACCTGGCATTGCTCTCAAGTACTCATCTTTAACATCTTATGCTTCTAGATAAGATACCACATCTGCTTGAGGAACAAATAGGGCAAGTGAGAATGATACAATGAAGCATGTGGAGACAAGCGTAACAGAACACGTGCCGATACATCCACTACTTTGTCAACAGAAAAAGTATCCCATATCATCACGGTCGAACGTACTCTAGATTTGATGGACTTGTTTTGACCCTCAAATTCTTGAGTCGGCCTTATACTCTGGAGGAAACCAGAAAACCCTCCAACCCAGTTCAAGAATAAGCCTGTAGAAAGTTACTTCTTCAAAAGCAAAAGTATCTCATATCATCTCTTCCCCATTTGCTTCTCCTTATTCTTGTTGTTGTTTACGATACAAGGAGAATGAGAACAATCAACAGGAAGCCGAAGTCGAACATCCGATCCAGGTTGTTTGCTTGGAAGTTTGATGCTTACCTTGTCTGTTACCTCATTCAGCAAATCTTCTAACTCAGCGACTTAGGGGACTCCTACTATAGGGTTTGTATCGCACTTGACCAAACCCGAAATTACAAGTAAGCTTCAAGTAAAATTGATACATTACCTTGTGCATCTTCATCGGTTAAAGATACCACCCCTGTATGGAGGAAAAGTACTTCCAGAGAAGATGCCATATCTACATATGAGACAGATAAAGCAAGTGAAAATTATACCACACTTCGGTACTTAGAAGTTTCGTGATTACTCAATGGCTTGGATCTTGCAAGTCCCCAACCGAGGAGCTTCCTTCAATTGGGAATTTAGGGGAGCACTGTTTGTACCATACTTAACCAACCTCGAAACTACTAAGCACCGGTCAACATTATACCGCCAAAGACCCACAAGAGTCTCCCTCCAACCAGGAGGTCAATCACAACACGACACATGTCAACATCAGAGGCCAATCATAACGCGACACGTGTCGACATCAGAGGCCAATCACAGCACGACACGTGTCAATGTCAGAATGAAACTAGAAACTCTTTTCTATAAATAGAGATCATTCTCTCACAATATTTCCTAATGTCATTTGTACTAAATCATTCACTAGTACTCACTAAAGGAGAGCTTGAACCTATGTACTTGTGTAAATCTTTCACAATTAATGAGAACTCCTCTACTCCGTGGACGTGGCCAATCTAGGTGAACCACGTACATCTTGTGTTTGCTTCCCTGTCTCTATTCATTTACATATTTATCCACACTAGTGACCGGAGCAATCTAGCGAAGGTCACAAACTTAATACTTTCTGTTGTACCAAAATCCTCACTGATTTTGTGCATCAATAAGGTGAAGTTTTTTTTCATATCTTTGTATGAATTTTTGATACTTCCGTGGAAATATCGACTGTATTGTACACGACCTCGTACATAGTTTTTTAAATTACAAGTTTATCCTTTACCTCTAAAATCCAGCAAAGATCCGGTTGCGTTCGTCCTTGGGCATATGATACGGACGAAACTAACACGGCGACCCAAAATTTAGAGAGAGAAATGGGAGGACATGGAGCTATAGAGGTGGCGAAGACGGTGATGGAGGTTGCTGATGTGGCGTGGACCGCCATGGAACACGGCCGCCATCACCTCCACCACGAGGACCACGACGGTCAGGGAACGGTTTCCGACGAAGAACTGGAGGCTCTGCGGGCGGAGAATCGGCGGCTGAGGAACTCGCTGGAGCAGAATCTGAAGCTGCTCGAGAACCTCTCCGAGTCGCCTGCGGTTTTGGACGATTGCCCTCCTGATGTAAACGATTTGGGGTCGATTTATTTCGATTCGGTACCCTTTGATCAATTTGTATAAAGATTTCGAATTTTGATTCAAAAACTGAAACTGGTATTTGTGTTTTTTTTTTAAATTCAGCTGTATGCTCGGTTAGTGGCGACGGTGGATTCGAACAGCTTCTTGACTAGAATCAAAGCTCTTCAGAAGGAATCCATTGATGATTATCAGTTTCCTTTCAAACCAGCCACAGGTATATAAATATATATATATATGTATGTATGTGTGTGTGTGTAAATATATATATATATATATATATATAAACTGTTTCAATTCTATGTAATAATCATTGGGTTTGTTTATAATTCATGTTTGGATTTTAGGAAGTGATTTGGAGAAAGCTGAAGTTCAAATCAAAATTGACAATGAAGAAGCCAGTTGGTGGGTGTGGATCACGGATGATATGATTCCGGGTAAAGTCGAGGAGAGGAGTGGGATTGACAATGAGAGCTATGTTGTTGTTAGTGAGGAGCATGTGGTGGATGGGATTGCCAATTTTATGGCCAAGTGTATTGTGTCAAACCCGAAAGCTCGCGTACGTATCCACTCATTGCTTTTTGGTTGCTGTTTAAATTATGTTGCTCATTTTGGTCTCATGTTGTTTTGCTTCCTTGGAATTGCAGAACTTGACGCCAGAGGAGCTGCAGAAAAGTAAGTTTTGTTGGTCTTTCTCAGTTGATTCTCCGTGTACTTGTAATGTCTTAACCCGAATATGCTAATAGGTTATTTTCTACGTGAATCGTGTTTAACCACTTAGTTTGCAATCCTCTATACTTTCCATTTATCTCGAAAACTAATTGCTGGTTTTGTTGTGCCTTGCGACGCACTGTGGTTAAACGTTGCAGAGTATGATGAATCGGATAAGCTTGGATACATAAACCAAGAAAATGGAATTGAACTTTAGTTTCTTTCCTTCTAGAAATTTCATGTCTCTAATTTAGTCTTTGCATCCCAAACTGGATACTCATCTCAAGTCTTATCTCTGTCATTTAATGATTCTCGGGCTTGACTTTGAAGATTTAGTGGGCAATAGAGAATGTGTCTACCGAAGCTCATCCTTGGGAGTCTATAATTTGCAGTTGTAGCTAAAGCAATGGGTGGTGTCGGCAAATTGGAGAAAGTATTGGGCATTTGGCATGCAGGGAAGTTGTTCTATACTTTGTCCACTTGGGGACTTGCTCTAACTGGGTAAGTATTTCTTGCCCACCTTCCTGTTGTGTTAGCCTCGAGAATGTTAGCAATGTTAGCCTTGATTATCTGCTACTTCCTGTTCATAAATGGCATACAAATGGATGTTTTTCCATCACTTCTCTCAATTATTATCCAAGAGATAGCATGTATGTACATTTTCCCAGAATGTTTCATACATGTTTTGTCAAAGTAGGGAAAAACTGTTTTGAATTAGGTTGCTTATTTCTTACTAATTTAAGAATATCATGTTGGCTTGTATCACAGATTGTATAGGAGCCGTGCGGTATTAAAATTTGCGGCGATGGGGCTGCACACAACTAGCAAAGCAATTATGAGAGCAATGTGAGGCTCCCTGCCCTACTGCCGCTAAAAACGAAGATTGGAACTGTGCAATAACGTCACTGCAGGTTTATAAGAATCCCATTTGATGTAAATAATTGTAAACAGTGCTTGTTCTTGTTTCTGCCATGGTTTCATTGACTGATTTCATGTACTGAACCATTGATTGATTCTGCGTGTTTCCGCATCCAGTGCAGATGACATGCAACTGCTGAATGCTTAATGAACTATTTTAGTTACTGAACTGCAATTGCTAGAAATGGAAAAGGAAAAAAATGTCGAATTAACAAAAACGGGTGTGTATAAATGCAATCTGTAATTTCTTTGTGTTGAGCATTGTATAATAATTCGGTACAACCACCGCTCTTTCTGGTGCAAACGACTACATTAAGAACACAAGAAGAAAGTTAAAGAAAGAACCATAACTGGTATCAGCTCGCCATAAGTTGTACAATCAGGCCAGCCAGATTTCTCTCTCCACAAAATTGCTGCAGTTAGGCATCACAAAACATGGTGATGCGCTTATCAATCACTAAGGGGTAGTTCCATAACCATTCCACTTTCAGTTTTTGGTTTTTCTGTTTTCGGCCCCTAAAATATCACATTTGCTTTAGAGAACTAACATTATGGGCTTGTTTGGATTTGCTTTTAAAATGACTGAAAGCGCTTTTAGAAAACATGGTTTTTGGTTCCAAAAGCATTTGAATGCTTTATGCAAGAGGAAGCATTTTAAATGTTTTTTTTCAGGATTTACTTGCATATTTACTAATGATTGATTCTAAAAACATTTTCATCAAAAGCGCTTTCAGTCATTTTAAAAGCATATCCAAACGAGTTCTATATGACGGTAGTAATGCCATCTCTGAATCTGACAAAAGCAATCAGTTTCTCGATATGCATGAGAAACATTTTGTCACAGCGGAGGTAACTTACCCAAACATTGTCTTCTTATGGCAAAACACCTGCAAAATTCAAGCAATCGAAACATATGATACGCAGAACACGTTATGATACACACAACATGTCTAATGTCATATTGAAACAGTCCATTTGGTTGTTGGGTTGTTGGGGGTTGAGACACACACCACCAGTAATATATGAAGCGTGTTTCCCATCCATCAAAAGCATTCAGTAAAACTGACATAAGAATAAAGCTAATTATGTTTCAAATACTACAAAAAAGTATATATCCCTGCTGTAGGAATGCAGAGTTGCTCGAGCCCATATGGCAAGAATCTATAGGAACCTGCAGTGGGTGTAAATCTTTTGGACTTCTGGAAAGTAGAATTAACCATATATTTGCTGAATGAAATGCCAAACGACGAAAGGGAAAGCAAATGGGAGAAAGGTAAAATGGTTATTTGGCCAAAGAGCTACAGATATTTTTTTGTTCCACTCCAACAGGAGAGTAAATTTGGACTTCCAATCAGTTGATTGTATACAATCATCTTTTAGAAGAAAAATTAAAGATTGCCTATGGCAGTGTAGACATCGAAATTTCGGTAAATAAATGTTGACCGATAAATCAAAGTTTCAACGCTCATGTATTACATAAATTTTACACGTAGCGTGTGTCTAAACAAAAAATCGAAATAAGTTGGAAAAGTCATCAAACAGGACACGTGTCAACACTTGGCAGAAACGACTTATTTCATTTGGGATATTATATTCAAAATTAGGCCTTGGAAAATTCTATAAATACAAGCCCATTTCATTCATTTTGGGGGAACCAATTCATATTACACCTTGAAGCTCTAAAGCTCTGAAACTCCGAAGCTCTCAAGCATCCCGGTTCCCAAATAATCAAGAAAGCCTTCTTCGTTCATCGTTCTTCCAAGATCAAGCCTCAACGGCCCTTTGGATCAACAATCATCCACCGTTCTTCCAAGATCAAGCCCCGACGGCCCTTGGATCAACAATCATCCACCAAATCAAGATCAAGCCCCGACGGCCCTTGAAGAAAGTGTTCTTCGTTCATCGTTCTTCCAAGATCAAGCCCCGACGGCCCTTGGATCAACAAGCCACCGTTCTTCAAGATCAAGCCTAAAAGCCCTTGAAGATCCGTTCATCACTGTTCTTCAAGATCAAGCCCAAAAGCCCTTGAAGACCCGCTCATCACCGTTATTCAAGATTAAGCCTCAACGGCCCTTGAAGAAACACTCATCCTCAAGATCAAGCCCCAACGGCTCCTTGAAGATCCGCTCAAATCCATCTTCCAAGATCAAGCCCACGGCCCCTTGAAGAAACTTCCAACAGTTCTTCCAAAATCAAGCCTCGACGGCCCTTGGATCAACGAAATATCCACAAATCAATACCTTACGGAGATCGAATCAGAGGATCAAAATAGAGAGAGATTGTAACCCAAAATCATCAAATACAAATATTTGTTTGTGCACGTTGTTCTTGTCTCTTTCGTTTCAAGAATTTTCTGTGTTCACAAATTGGCACGCCCGGTAGGACAATCTCTGCCTCTCATCTCTTTCTCCGTTCAAGAAATTCAAGCGCACTTCCAAAATTAATGGCATCAAGGAAGGCTCAAACTGTTCCCGCAACTGGCGCAAAGAACAAAAGCGTCCTCGTCGCAACTGGTGTCACTTTGGGCATCACGACTCGAAGCATGGCAAGAGCTACTTCTGCCGCCTCTTTCACCTCTGCATCAACTCTGCCAAGGGAACAAAAGCACCCAAGGCACGAGCCTTTGATCACCTTAGCCTCACTAAGGGCACCAAGGGGGGAAAGCCCAAGGAAATACTCTGAATCCATGCTCTCCGATGCCGATTCAAGCGACAGTTCAGCCATGCAAGTCATGACCATTGGAGCAACTTCAATCGATGAGCAGCTGGCTCAAATGAATGAAGCAATCGCAAGGCTAACCCGAACTGTGGAAGAAAAAGACTTGCAAATTGCAGCACTAGTCAACCGACTGGAGGCGCAGGACGGCGATAAACCCGACCCAGAGGATGATCCACTAAAGGGAGGAGCTGGCGGAGACGAAGAACCTCCGGTGAAGAAAATCGATGGGAAGCCGGAGCTAGACCAAGCAGCGGCACTCATGGGATCTCTTTCTATCCAGCAGCTGCAGGAGATGATCACCAACACCATCAAGGCACAGTACGAAGGGAGCTCACATACCTCCTTGTTCTACTTGAAGCCCTATTCCAAGAAGATTGATGCCCTAAGGATGCCAAGGGGTTATCAACCATCAAAGTTCATGCAGGTTGATGGAAAAGGAAACCCAAAGCAGCACGTTGCACATTTCGTCGAAACTTGCAACAACGCGGGGACGGAGGGAGACTACCTCGCCAAGCAGTTTGTGCGCTTGCTGAAAGGAAATGCCTTTGAGTGGTACACGGACCTAGAGCCTGAGTCCATTAATAGTTGGGAGCAATTAGAGCGGGAATTCCTCAACCGCTTCTACAGCACCCGCCGCACTGTGAGCATGCTAGAGCTAACGAGCACAAAGCAGTGGAAGGACGAGCCAGTCATTGACTACATCAACAGGTGGCGCACTCTAAGCCTCGACTGTAAAGACAGGCTCTCGGAAACCTCTTCAATCGAGATGTGCATGCAAGGCATGCAATGGGGTTTGCAATACATCCTTCAAGGCATTAAACCACGGACCTTCGAGGAATTGGCCACTCGCGCTCATGACATGGAGTTGAGCATCGCCCATCATGGGAAGAAAGAACCAATCGCCGACTACAAGGACAACAAAGTTCTTGGGACAAAGGTGGAAAAGGCTGCATGGAAACCCACCAAGGAAGCGATGACGGTCAACACAGCTCCCGTCAAAATCTCCACACGAGGCAAGGCGATTCAAACCGAAGCTTTTCGTGATCAAGAAATGCGTAGACGCACTTTGAAGGAGCTTGAGGAGATGACTTATCCATTCCCCGACTCTGATGTGGTTGCCATGTTAGAAGACTTGCTGGAAAAGAAGGTGATTAGTTTGCCTGAGTGCAAACGGCCAGAAGAGATGAATCGCACTGACAGTCCAAGGTACTGTAAATTCCACCGCTTCATCAGTCATCCGACAGAAAAATGTTTCGTGCTGAAAGATCTCATCATGAAGCTGGTTCAGAAAGGAATCATCGAGCTAGATCTTGACGATGTGGTGAAGTCAAACTATACCACCTTCACTTCTGGCTCTTCCGACTCAAAGTTTTCACCTCAACCGCTGGGGGCATCCTCCAAGACAAGCAAAATTGAAGGATGGACTCAAGTCACTCCTAAGAAATTGCACAAGAAGCATACGTCTCCTCCACAAGTCCGCCAATCGGAAAGGGGGCAAAGCAGCTCTTGTCAACCTTCAAAGCAACGTGAACGTGTTGAAAATGATGAAATTTCAACACATAGATCGTCCATCCCCATTACGATGCGCGATTTCTTTCCTGAAGACTTCTTCAATCACTCGGTCTAGGCTTCTTGCTATGAAGATTGTGAGGAACGCCTCTCCAAAATTGCTTGACAAAATTCACAAAGCTCCTTGCCCGCACGAGTCTAAACTGCATGGCACAAAGCTCCTGGTCTGCACGAGCATAAAAGGCAACATCAACACTCCTGGTCTGCACAAGCATAAAAGGCAACACCAAACGCTCCTTGTTCGCACGAGCCTAAACTGCACGAACCAAAGCTCCTTGTCCGCACGAGCCTAAACTGTGGGACACGAAACTCCTTGCCTGCATGAGCCTAAACTGCATGGCACAAAGCTCCTGGTCTGCACGAGCATAAAAGGCAACACCAACGCTCCTGGTCCGCACGAGCACAAAAGGCGGCACCAAATTGCTCCTTGCCTGCACGAGTTGAAACTGCAAACGGCACCACCAAAAGAAAATACAAAAAAAAATATGTATGCATTTGAACTACGTTTTGACTTGATCTCTTTCTTTGGAAGGGTACGTAGGCAGCTCGAGCATTCAAAATTGCGAGTTCAGTCACATCAAAATATAAATAAATGTTTTATTAAAGAAAGTCAATTTTATTAAAAAAAAATGATGAATACATATGTTTATGTATTTAAAAAAAAAATCCTTATACATATATATATATATATGTCTTCTATCTAGCAGCAATAAGCCCATCAAAAGGAGGTTGGCCAAGCCCAAAGCCTATTGTCCAAATCCAGCTTCAAGAAGAAGAAACCCAAATCAAACCAGGCCCATCTCCTTCCTTGTCCACCAATTACAAAACTGGGCCAAGTTCTCAAAGCCCATCTTCACAAGTCTCACTCTCTCAGCTAAAATGGCTGCGGGGAATGTGAAACCGAGCGAATCGATGGTCTCGACGATCGTCC